TTCTCATTCCAAGTACAATTAAATGATCAAGGAGACGATACTATTTCCATTAAGAGAGAGCAAAGAAGATGTGATTTTGTTTTGTTTACTTCATTCCCCGGGTGATCATTCGTAACATTATAATCAAGGACACAATGTGAAAACCAATAAGGGTTTTCTTTTTGGGGTTGGCTACTTTCTCAGGGAACCTAGAACACCAAAAAGGTAAAAGGGTACCACCGGGCTACCAAGCAGGGAATGGGGTTTCGGGCTTTTCGAGTTTAGGGTTTCGGGCTTAAGGGTTTTTGGGAGTGGTCGCGCAGCCGCTGTCGCGTGCCCGAAACATGCTCAACCCAAAACCCTAAACCCTTAAACCCTTAAACCCCTCAACCCTACAGCCTAAACCCCTGAACCCTAAGCCCAAAGCCCCAAAACCCTAAACCCCTAAACCCCTAAATCCCTAAGCCCCCTAAACCCACGGGCTGCGGTAGCGTCCGCCTGCGGGGACAGCCCGTGAAAATCGGTGACCTGCTTGGAGGTTCATGGTACTCATTAACTGAACCAATTATCACTGTACTTATAAGGGTTTAGGGTTTAGGGTTTAGGGTTTAGGGTTTAGGGTTTAGGGTTTAGGGTTTAGGGTTTACTTTTAACTGTACCTATAACCATACTAGGGCACTTAAGGGGCTTATCAGTGCGTTGGAAGTACAGTTTTAATTGGTTCATAAGCACCATGAACCTCCAAGTGCTGCGCGGAAGGATGGCGTTCCAAAAGTCATGGGGGGGCTTAGGGTTTAGGGCTGAGGGCTAGGGTTTAGGGCTTAGGGTTTAGGGCTAAGGTTTTAGGGTTTAGTGTTCCAACAGTCATGGGGGGGGGGGGGGGGGTGTGGTGTTAGGGCATTTCGGTGTCTACGAGGGCCCCCAAAAACAACCCTAAGCCCCAAGCCTAAACCCTAAGCCCGGCAGCGTTTTCTTCAGCAACCAGTCGTCGGAACTAAAAGAGGGACCCTTATGAGGGTTCCAAACCCTGAACCCTAAACCGTAAACCCCTAACCCCTTAACCCCGAAACCTTCAGAAATACCCAGTTTTCGTTTTCCTTTTGAGATTGAGTGTAGGGCTGGGGGTATAGCATCCGGCGCCACTTAATACCAAGAGACCCTTCAACCATATAGGGGTCCTACGGTTGCCAACCGAGGGTATAGACCCCAAACCCTAAACCCTGAACCCTAAACCCTACACCCTAAACCATCACCTGTCAAAACAGCATCTCCCAAAACTGCCTCGCAAAGCACTGAGACCCTGACGTCCAATACCGACCCTAAGGGGTTTACTTAGAAGCTCTTTTGAACTGAGTAAGTCGACTTAGTATATCCCCTTGAAACCCCATTATCATCCCCATGACCCACCTTGCTAACCCTAAACCCTAAACCCTAAACCCTAAACCCTAAACCCTAAACCCTAAACCCTAAACCCTAAACCCTAAACCCTTACTCAGTCAAAAGGGCTTCCAAGTAGGGTCTCGGGCGAAGAGGCACCTGGCGTGGTGAGGGTAGAGCCAGGCCCTCGTCCTCAAAGTGGCGATGCCACCTGGCTGGGGTATTCAAAACCTTAAAACCTAAACCCCAAACCCCAAACCCTAAACCCTGAACCCGAAACACTGAACCCGAAATCTGAGGGCTTATGGAGAGGGCGCCGCCAAGAACCCTCGCCCCCTCCAGGAAATACGAGCGATACTGAAACACACAAGCGTGTATATGTATATATATGTATATGTATATATATATATGTATATGAGTATCTATATATATATATGTATATATATATATATATATATATATATATATGCACATGTGTATGTAGATATGGGCCTTACGAAAAAGTACTTGCATGTATCAGGCGTCATGCTAATGTATGTTGTTTGGGGTTTTGAGGGGGTCTATACTGGTTCTTGGGCATATGGGTTGTAAAGTTCGATCAGGGTTCACATTTGGAATTATTAGGGAGTTCGACGGGTTTGTAATGATAACCCGAGACACCTCCAAAAACATAAGAAGTTCTCCGGCCAGGAGTTCTAGTACTAGGCGGAAGGAATTACTGGCAACCCTAAAGCCCACTAACGCCCCCGAGCTTTGGACTTAGATGCTGAGTTCAGAAGCCCCGCAAAAGTGCACACTTTCAGTTCTATAGGGGATTAAGTATCCCCAAAAGTGTAAAGCGTACTCACTCAGCTTCGAAGTAACGTACGCTAGGTAGAATTCTGCAGAGCTTTACCTATATCGCTTCCTCCTTCCAAAGGGCGAGCGGCCATCAGCAAACCCACAAGGGCACCCTAAACCCTCAACCCTCAACCCGGGAACCATACACCCTAGAACAAAGTTCTCAACCCTGAAAACCCCAAACCCTAAAACCCTAAACCCTAAACCATCAGCCCTACCCCTAAACCCTAACCCCTAAACCCTAAACCCTAAACCCTAACCCCTAAACCCTAAACCCTAAACCCTAGACTTCCCGAACCCAAAACCCCAAGAATTCCGTCAGCTTCGTTGCCTGAGGAGCTGCTCCAGGGGAGCCGTTTCCAGGGCTTCCGCCCCAGTTCGGTACGTCAGGCCATCCGGGCCTGATTGGGGTTTAGGGTTTAAGGTTTAGGGTTTAGGGTTTAGGGTTTAGGGTTTAGGGTTTAGGGTTTAGGGTTTAGGGTTTAGGGTTTAGGGCTTAGGGTTTAGGGTTTAGGGTTTAGGGTTTAGGGGTTGGGGTTTAGAAATGAGGGTTTAGAGTTTAGGGCTTAGGGTTCAGGGTTTAGAGCTTAGGGTTTAGAGGGGCTTGTAGAGTATTGAGCAAGGCTTAGGGTCTAGGGTGTGAACCGCCCGGGGGTCAAAGAAACCTACTACCAGGTTTATGAAGCTCATCAGATCTTATTCCATATACGTGCAAAAAAAGGCCTACATAAGAAAACGAAAAAAAGGCAGGCCTAAAGCCAAAACCCTATAGACCCCAAAGCATCAAAGCAGTAGAACACTAAACCCCAGACCCAAGACCCAAATCCGTAAACCCTAAGCCCTAAACCCCAAACCCCTAAACCCCTAAACCCAAAAACCCCTAAACCCTAAACCCCTAAACCCCTAACCCCTAAAGCCTAAACCCTCAACTCCTTCAAGTGAATTCTCAGGCCACGGCGGAGCTGCTGCCTTTGCAGTGCCTCGAGGAGCCTCGAGAGGGTAACCCCTGAAGTCCTGAAACCCTAAAATCTCCGGCTCTGAGGTTTAGGGTTTAGGGTTTAGGGTTTGGGGTTTAGGGTTTAGGGTTTAGGGTTTAGGGCTTGGGGCTTGGGTTTTGGGGTTTGGGGTTTGGGCTTGGGAGTTGGGATTTAGGGTCTGGGGATTAGGGTTCCTAGGGTTCATGTGGGGAATCTCTGCCCCGAAATTTGTAAGGCGTGTCAGTCAGTTCTGGCAGTTAGGGACCCTAGAGGCCACAAACGCAGTGACAAACGCACCAAAAAGCCCCAAAAAGCCCTAAACCCTAACTAAAACCTAAACCCTGAACCCTAAACCCTAAACCCTAAACCCTAAACCCTAAACCCTAAACTGGGGCAACCTCTCCCGCCCACACACATACTTCCCCGCTCCGCCCCCGCTCCCACCCTAAAAGTAGAGGCTTGGGGTTTAGGGTTTAGGGTTTAGGGTTTAGGGTTTAGGGTTTAGGGTTTAGGGTTTAGGGTTTAGGGTTTAGGGTTTCCCAGAAGCCCCAAACCCCAAGGCTGCAAACCCAGGGCCCTCCAACTTCGAACCCTAAAGTCCCAAAAACCTTTATAAGTTAAAACTCTAAAGTTGGGATGGTCTCCCCTTTTATTTACAGTCCTTAATAGGGATTCTAGTACCCCCACAGTATGATCCCTATTAAGGACCGTTAGAAAATGGGGGAACATCCCAGATTCAAAGCCCCAAGCTGAAAATCAAGCCCCTAAATCCTTGAATCCCCAACTCCCAAAACCTTGAACTTAAAACCTACAAGAGCTTAAATCCCGCAGGCCCCCTAAGCCCGAGTTAACCCCTGGACCCTGATGTGGGTAGCTTCCTAAACTAAGGTCCCTTTTCCTGGGGGGTCCTGTCTTAAGGATGCCGTACTTCACATACATATATGTATAGGACTTAAGCGACCTAAAGCCTAAACCCTGAACGTTAAAACCTAAACCCCAAACACTAAACCCCTGATGCATAGGACAGTTCTCCACCTCTCGGGAGCCCCGGCGCGAGCGCCGCACTCCACGCGCCAACAGCCGCGACGTTGCTCAGGGCCTTTGGCGATCAGTTTAAGGATTGGCAAGCCGGCCAAACCCTAAACCCGAAGTTTCTGAGGGTGCGTGGTGTTTTGAGCTTTGAAGGCTTTAGGGGGCCGAACGAAGTTTCGGGTTTTGCGGTTTTGGGGTTGTCGTGCTCTTTCATTATGGCCCCCTTTGTTGTGGGGATCGTCCCAGAAAATTCGGCGATTAACAAGTTGAGCTTACAGTGCCACAATTCTCCAAAATCAGGTCAAGAGTCTGTAGGCCCATTCCAAGTGGGCAGCTTCCCCGCCGTGATGCAACCCGGTTAACCTTTGGTGCCCTACTTTACTCCGTGTGGAAGCTTTTGACAGGCAATTCTACCCACATGGAATTTCACTTTCGGATGTGTCCGTAAACATTTAGTCGAGTCGCGCTCTAAAAACTCCCGAATGGGAGCATCCGCAGAGCGCGGATCCATTGATCAGCCGGTACGGTTAGCCTATGTCTCGTTTCGTTTGCGGCACCAGAATTGCCATAAGAACACAACGACAACGGAAGACTCACAGATACATAGAACCTCACCAATACTCAAGACCCAACTAGGCAACTTCGGGCTCGTGTACTCTGGGGTAGTTAACTTGGGGGGGTACCCTTCCTGTGCTGTTCGGGTCCTTAGTCTCACATTGGCAGCTTGGGGGATCGACAGACCGGACTTCCTGCGAGTTTTTACCGGTAGCAGGGCTACGCATGACTTCGTTTTTTTTACGCTCTGCTCAGCTCCACCTCGTTCAAGGCCCCGGTCCAGCCCTTCTGACATGGGAAATCGACGCTGACACCGTCTCCAACGAGAAACTCGACCACTTGCCCACAGTCGCCGCGCTTCACCTTGCCCCAGCCAAACTTTGGATTCAGCACGTCCTGTCGGACTTGCACTAAGGATCCAATCTCGATGGTGCCCGTGCCCACCAGCGCCTGCCTTACTGTTGCTTAGCCGGGAAATAAGGTACAACTATCTCCTGTATATATACCCTTTAGGGATATGATAGATACCTTCTTCCCCCATTCCCTACTACGAAGCAACAGCAAGCTGCAAGGGCTCCCGAAGATCGAGGTTTGCATCCGACAGGGTCTTCTGCTCATCAAGCGCCGGGCCATCCTGGCCCGCCTGTCTCGCAACATCCTTGCTGCTGGTTAGCAGGGAATGAGAATTAGGGCCCTATATTTTGCCTTTGAGGGATTATATAGGGTACAAAATCCCCCCCCCCTCCCCCCATTCCCTACTAACCAACATTACGTATTGTCTCCGAATATCCCAGCTGCCTCCACGTTGACGTCACGGAGGAGCGTGGCGCTTGTGGCTGCAACTTGGGCTGAACGACGGCTGGGGAGCGAGACCGTCACAGTCTGAGTCCCCTCAACGACGACCCGCTCGGTGGTAGGGAAAGCTCCCACGGACATTCCGAGTGGCAGGCGTGCGGCGATCTAGGTCTAGAGTCTAGATATAGGAACACCAAAGCGGTATCGTTTTGTGTTTAAACAGCTGTCTTGTGAGGGTTGAGGGAGCCCTAAGACAAGCCCTATACACCCTAAACCACCCTAAGCCCGAAGCTCCTAAGGCCCATGTGCGCACCAGCATTTGAGAAGGCCTCCTGAGCTACAAAGATCCAATGGGGTTCAGGGTAGAGGGTTGATGGGGATTGTAGTGCTTCGTTCTTACGCCACCAAACCATGATGTGACAGAACTCTCCACCCCAAAAACAACCTTCCGGAGGAAGCCACCCACAACTTTCCCCCCAAACTTAGAAACCCCCTAAACCCTAAACCCTAAACCCTAAACCCTAAACCCTAAACCCTTCAAGAGGATCAAGAATGACTTGCGACATGCAGCTCATGATGACAACATGCCGATGCCCCGGCGTAGTCTATGACCAGTCTTTCTTGGTTGGGTTTCGCGAGATTATGGTTTAGGGTTTAGGGTTTAGGGTTTAGGGTTTAGGGTTTAGGGTTAGGGTTTAGAGATTAGGGATTAGGGATTAGGGTTTAGGGTTTAGGGTTTAGGGCTTAGGGTTTAGGGTTTAGGGTTCAGGGTTTAGCAGGAAAGCCTTGTAGCATCGGCCCTCCAACTTCTTTGGCGCAGCTGAGGCCAGCGCGATGTTGAATGTGGTGATGTTGGGCTCGACGTTGTAGGACGGAAAGTTGCTCCTCGTCTGCGGGTCTTGGTGCCGTTATAGGGCTTCCTAGGGTTTAGGGTGGTTAGGGTTCTGAGAATTTTAATTTTTAATTTTAGGTCTCTCTTTGGGTTTAGGGTTTAGGATTTTTTTCGGGGGGTTTTGGGTGATTTGGGGATTTCGGGCAGCTCACCTTCACCGCACGCAAAGCGACACCCGAGGCCAGAAGGGCGATGCTCCACCTGTGGGCCCTTTCAGAGTACAAAGTATACCCAACCCCACAAAATATTTATATACAGATAAAAATATAATAATAACAAAAATAATAATCATCATCATCATAATCATAATAAGAAGTATAAGAATAAGAAGAAGATTAAAAACAACAATAACAATAATGATAATCACAATTAATAATCAATACGTAAATAGGGTGTCTAAATATCCGGTAGATGGAGGTTTTGCTTAATGCACCACCTAGAATGAAGTCCCTGGGACCCAAATACGTAAATAATGCAACCAAGATGCGAAGATTGTGCTTAAGACCCTCAAGACGACAGGCCCACCGCTCCAGCCTTTTCGATCAAAAACAGCCTCAGCGTCCATGTGTCATCCTTGCGCAGGGGCCAATGCCTAGCTTCACGCACTCCCCCTCACACTTCCCGCCAAAGGAAGTGTGACAGGAGCCCACCGGAAAAAATACATCACAAAGGATCAGCACTAGGACTGAATTGGCCCCCACATGCACACCATATGTCGATCGTTGGCCTTTCTGTACTAGGCCGACTTGCTCCTTCAGAGTAAGTATTGATCATGATTTGATTGGGACAAAAACCTCCTGTACAGTACTCTGCTTCAGAGCACAGGTATCCCCTACACAGATAAGTAGACTCGAGACCAAAAGACCCTTCTCAAACCCCCAAAGACTTAGCAGTGAAGTTCTAAAAGCCCAGGCACTAAGCCGGAAAGAGTCGTCGGTCCTTCATCTACACACCATCACCTGACCCTTAAACACCGCGTCGGCAGTCTTTCTTTTGGACCTTCCAGAGGAGTCAACCCGAGGATGAAGACCCGCTATCACGAGCTCGCTCTCTGAGCCGATTTCCGACTAGCCAAAGAAACTCATCTCGAACCTCCTCTGGATAGCCCTCAGCTTCCACGCTATACCCTGCCCTCCACAGACAGTAGAGTATTCGCGCTCGGTGCTTGATGCCATCAGGCAACGGCAAAGGAACTTCTACTAGCTCCCTTGTTTGACTCTCGGCTGTTCTAACGGCACTGCGGCGACATTTTCGCCTGAATGCCCGCAAGATTTCCCACGTCCCAACAGTGAGAAGGATCTTAAAGACTTCCCACCAACATGAACCTTGGAGATCTCCTTCAGATTCGCTTCTCGGCGTCACAACATCTTCGATGGTTGAGCGGATTTGCAAGGCCTGTTGCTCGCTACCTAGGCTACATGTTCCAAGATCCTCATCAAGCGCCTCCGCAATCACAATGCACCCAAGAAACACCCAACAAATGAGGACAGCTATCAACACAGACCACCAATTCGCCTTACACACAGCCCTGACGTTCCAACATCCAACTCCGAAACCAAGCGAACTTTCTTCCCCAGGCCCCTGAGACATCAAGCCGTAAAACCCGGACCAATCACCCTGGTTCAGTCCTACAACAACCTCCTGTAGAGCCCCTAAACTCCACCCAGGAAGAGGAATCACCTGAAGATCATCAACGTACAGAACCCAAATTTCCTCCTCTGCAGCTACATATGTTAGGGTTCCCTCTACAGCCTCTGAACTTTGCGCCAAGCCGTCACCGTGCGGCTCACAAGCTCGGACCTCGCTGGAAACCGCACTCTCGCTGCTAAAGACTTCCGAGAATACCGAGGGTTCGGTCGTAGAGATTGATTCTTCTTCCTCGGATGACTCAAGACCGAAGTCTCCGATGTCAAAGAACTGAGCCCATGCCGGAACACGTAACGGAGGATCCCCAACAGGCTCAACCCCATGAGGCACAGCATCTATCCCAGGATCATCAAAATGACTAGAAACACTGCTCTCAAAATCATCGTCAACGTCTTCCGGCTCTTGGACCTCTGACCCAGCACGATCTCCCGCTTGGTCGGCATCAGCAGCCCTCATGTCAATCCTACCTTGTCTCAGATATGACTCAACCGCTTCAAACCACTGAGGACCACTAAACCACGCCGCCAACCTACCACGTCTGAGTTCCTCTACTACAGCACACACTACTCCAGCTCTTATATGAGCACATGATGCTCTGAGACACGTCCACTCAACCGTAAGCTCACTCAAATAACCCAGAATCCTTTCACCCTGCTTCACAAGAAGATGCGCTAAGTAATGCATTACGCAGACTTGGCCAGTAAGTGGAAATACTGCGAGCTCAATCGTCCCATCGGATTCCTCATAATCTTCGCTGCGATCAGGAGTCTCAACACAAATGTCATGCTTCAGCTCCTGCGTTCCACTGTTAAAGGTGCTTCCCCCAACCTGAACATTTGAAGAAGGCACTGAACCGCTTGAAGTGCTCCCCCCAACCTGAACGTTTGAAGAAGGCACCGAAAGGCTTGAAGTGCTCCCCCCAACCTGCACGTTTGAAGAAGGCACCGAACCGCTTGAAGTGCTCCCCCCAACCTGAACGTTTGAAGAAGGCACCGAACCGCTTGAAGTGCTCCCCCCAACCTGAACGTTTGAAGAAGGCACCGAACCGCTTGAAGTGCTCCCCCCAACCTGAACGTTTGAAGAAGGCACCGAATTTCCTGAAGTTCTCCCAAACTTAGACGCCAGATCACCCTGAACTCCCTGAGCTTCAGCTGGCATTCCGAGGCTGTTCGAGGTCATCAGTTCATCAGAGCTATCAAGGATACTGTTTTGCCCAAGCACACCTTGCAAGGAACCAAGTTCACAACCCCTTTTTCTATCGAGCCATAACTTCTCAGTAGAGCCCTCAGACCCTGCTAAACCCCGAAGTCCAACAAACCACCGACCCCAGACTAACAACACCACCAAAACGATACAGCCCCAAGCCCAGCACGCGAAACTCCAGAAACTTTCTATCTCAGCCTCTGGCTGAGCAACAACCCAGGGGAGGGAACCTAATGCAACTCCACACCCTCCACAGTTCCTCACCGATACACCCCCAACTCTGGGAAGAGCAGCAAGGAGAAGGGCAGCAGCCAATACGCTTGGACATGCCTGTGGTCCATCTAAGCACCCTTTTGCCAACCGACTAACAACCCTGGCCGGATTCTCAAGTTCCCCTGAACACCCCTTACTTCGAACTGCTAATAGCTCGAGCAACTGAAAGATTCTCGCCCTAGCAAGTGGCTTTGTTGCCAAGTCCGCGACTTGCTTCTCACCAGGGATAAACGTAACGACAAGCGATCCGGCCTGTATGCGTTCCCTTCCTGCAGCCGCCCGCATCCTCAAGTGTCGGTTCCTCCACCCAAGGCTGCCACTTGAGAAAGCTCGAACTGCTGCTTGATTGTCGCACAACGCCGAAATCACTACATCATCAGCGATCAATTCTTCGATGATTGCTCCCACGGATTCTGCTGCTACGATTCCAGCCACCACTGAAACCAGCTCTGATTCCGCGGACGATAACGTCACAAATGGCTGCTTCGATGCTTCCCAAGCTATTAACATGCCACACCAGACAAGGAAGATCGCTTGGCAAGATCGTCCACCCTCCGGCGCGTGAGATGCGTCGGTGAAGAGTTCCAGCGTGCTCAGCGTCCTTGGCACTGGCGCATCACACCATTCACTGCCTCCTGACAATCGATACTCGATACCCACATCGACTGTTCCGTACAAGAACCTTAGGACTTGATATCCAACCTGGATCACTGCATTCGGCGCTCTCACAGCATACTGCCCCATCTTGCTGACCGCGAAAGCAACGTCAGGCCGACTCTTTGTCGAAGCCCAAAGTAAAGCACCTGTGATGCCCTGTGCTTCCCTCACTTTTTCCGGATTCAAAGGTTGCTCATCTGCAGGGTCACTCCACTTGAGCAATGGTGAACTTGCACTGCAGGTAATGTTATATCGCGAAAACAACTCCTGAAGATAGTCCGATTGCGAAATGCGGAACCCGTTGTCAAGAGCTTCAAGTTCCAACCCGCAAAACTTCACGGCCTTGCCTCGAGAGATCCACGTAGGTTCAGACAAAGTCCAAACTTGTTGAATATCCCTTATGAGCGCGCTGAGTAGATCAACCGGACCCAATGCCAAAATGTCATCTACGTAGACCAACATGATGGCTCGCCAGGTGCAATCCGCGCAGTTGTCCTCTAGAACATACCAGAAAGACTCGTCCGAGATCGACTGCCTTAAGACATAGAACTTATCCCCGCTGGAGAACTTGAATGTGGTCAAGATTTTATCCCTGTGGACGGCCCACGCCCTTGGCGCTTGCCGTAGTCCGTATAGCGCCTTGACGACGCGCCATCTGTCACGCTCCTCCATGAGCCCCATTTCCACAAGAATGGAAGGCGGTCGGACGATTATGACCTCCTCGGTTCCGCTCTCAAAGCCACACTCCAAAGGTGCGTTCAGGAACGCTGTCTTTATATCAGCACTTACTCCAGACCACGACTGTTGAGTGGCAAATGCTATAGCTACCCGCAAGGTCACGCCCTCAACTCCACTCGCGTAGAGATTTCCAGCCTCGCCCTCAGCTTGAGGAATGAAGTTTCCGCATGCTACACATCTAAATCGTCTCTTGCCGACCCCGGCCTTCCTGGTGAGCACAGCCTTACCTGGGACCTGTACCACCCGATGGCCCGCCTTGACAAGCTCCTCAATTTCAGGGATTTGGATGCGCCACACGGCTTTGTGAACGTCTTCAAGTGAAGTGACTTCTTCCTTGCGGACGGAATCCACATGGATAGTTCCTGCCGTGCTTCCCCGATGGACACCGTTCTGGTTTGAAGAAAAAGTTCAGCTGCAACTGTTGAGCCATCATCGCCATTCAAAGGAACATCGGTCTGCAAAACCTTCACGGTGA